GGAGGCCCGCAAACGGTGAACAACACATATGTGAACGCAACGATGTCTATACAGCAGCTCAACATCCAAAACGTGCCCAATCCTAACCAATTCAACCCCAATTTGGATCAAAACATGAACGTCGGGCACAATATGCCCATCACTAGCGGCCCGCCTATGAACCCGGGCTCCGGACCCATGCAAATGATGCCAACCAACACATCATCCAAAATGGCACCTAATTTCGGGCCACGAATGGCGGGCCCTAACAATGGGCCCAACTTTGCGGGTCAGCCCATGAATAATACGCGGGGAATGAATCCAATGGCATATCAACAGAACCCACAAATGATGCGCTGCTCTTACAACTCGCCGCAAATCCAGATCAAACCGGACGCACCCAACACTATTCAATACCTGCCGCCGCGGCAACAGAACCCGTCGGTGTCGTCGACCCCCCGGACGCCGTCACTGATGTTTTTGCAGCGCTGCGAACCCCCGCTCACAAACCTGGGCAACAAACTGCCCACTCATAACCTACAGTACTTCCCCGCAAACGCTCCCAATAGTAATAATAATAACAATACTATGAACTTTACGCGACCCCCTAATATGCCTAATATGTACAATTAGGTGCAATTCATGTACAGTTAGTGTACGATAAGTATGCCATTTAGTGGACAATACATTTAATGTACAATTAGTGTACAATTTTTGTGTACATTTGACTTAATATAACAATTTTTGTGACATAATTTTTGCATTAGATTTATATTGAATATTGATTTGAGAATTGAAATTATTTAATAATTTGTTTCTCGAAAAATTGCATTTCAATCAGAAATGAGTTTATATTGTATTGAAAATTGGACTCAAATCATGTCTTAACATAACATCTGTTTTAATACAAATTTTAAAATATATAAAACTATCATAAGATCACAATCACATCCAAATCTCATCCTCCCATACACTCAATGATCACCAAATGAACGCTTCTTTTATCTTTTTTCCAAACCATTTGTTATAAAAAATGATTTTAAAAATTGTCTTAAACTATAAATAATTAATTAAAAGCTTATATTAATTAATGTATGAATTGATGTAATTATTTGTAAAACTTTTTATATTTTAAGTTTGCAATCATTTGGACGTCATTTGTGTGAGAATTGGTTCTCATTATTATTGATATTTAAATATGAAGTAATAAAATGTCAGCTGTTTTTGCCATTAATTGTCTCATTTCTTACACTCATTGACACAAATATCATCAAATCATACCATTATAATCACCGCATCTGATCCACAAACCATATCCTAACCATTTGTAACCAATACTATACACATGAAAGGCAAGGGCAAGAAGGAGAAGGATTCAGTCGATGGAGTCGACGATAACTCATGTCCTCTTCAGTTCCTCGACTTCAAAGCCGTCGATCCCAACAAACAATGTCCACGATTTACATCCGGTAATCTCCCCCTCACTCTCTCTCCCCACTCATTCACCCACTCATTCACTCACTCTCTGTTTGATTGATTAGTTGTTCAAAGAAGTGAAGACGAAGGCATCGGTTCCGAAGATTTAGATGTCTTACAGTTGGAGTTGGAGTCACTTCTTGTCTCTGTTGTCCAAAGACAACGACTTCTGGAGACAGAAATGGAGTCTCTTATTAATTGGTGTGACTCTAAGAATAAAGACAAGCGATCGCCAAATAAACCGGTATTTGATTTACTCGAAGACAA